GCCGCGGGGCCGGGCCGGGCCGCGCCGCGCGGGGGAGGGGAGCGATGCGGCGCCGGCGGGCGGCCGTGGCCGCGGGTGTTTGCGCCTCCTTTCTGCTGGGCTCGGTTCTCAACGTGCTCTTCGCACCGGGCTCTGAGCCCCCGCGGCCCGGCCAGCCCCCTGCGTCCTCGGCCGCCCCGGGCCCGGGCCGTCGCGGGGCCCGCGGGGAGCTGGCCCGGCAGATCCGCGCGCGCTACGAGGAGGTGCAGCGCTATTCCCGCGGGGGCGCGGGGCGCGGGGCCGGCCGGCCAGAGCGGCGGCGCCTGATGGACCTGGCTCCGGGTGGGCCGGGCCTGCAGCGTTCGCGGCCCCCGCCCGACGGCGCCCCGGGCTGGCCCCCGGCTCCCGGCGCGGGTTCCCCCGGCCCGGGCCCGCGCCTGGGCTGCGCAGAGCTCCGCAACGTGTCCGGCGCGCAGTACGTGGGCTCGGGCTACACCAAGGCGGTGTACCGGGTGCGCCTGCCCGGCGGCGCCGCGGTGGCGCTCAAGGCGGTGGACTTCGGCGGCCACGACCTGGGCAGCTGCGTGCGCGAGTTTGGAGCGCGGAGGGGCTGCTACCGCCTGGCGGCCCACAAGCTGCTCAAGGAGATGGTGCTGCTGGAGCGGCTGCGGCACCCCAACGTGCTGCAGGTACGAGGGTGGGGTTCCGAGAGGACTCTGGGAGCGCCCCGGCCCGTCTCTCGGGCTGGAAATATCTGCTTGGTCTCGGAGATGGGGTGCCATTGACTGCCCAGGTTAAGCTAGGCTCAGACCCAAACTAAAACGCTTCCCATTGCACCACTCTGCTTCACTCTTGGGTAAGTGGCTCTGGGTTCCACACTTTATACACTTCCTTTAAAGACAGAGGTCAGGATAGGGGGGTCCCAAAACTCCAGGGTTTGGGCAGTGGATCAGAATTTTAGGACCGTGCTCCAGCAGGAGCTAGGGTACTGAGCACCTCAAGCCAAAATTAACTCCAGCCAAGACACTGTACACCATCCCTACCTGAGTCAGCTTCCAGTTGCAGCGATAGGGTTCCCCTTCTTGATGGAACCTGAAGCTCACTTCTTTCACTTTCCATTTAGGGTTGAAAAGGACTGGAAGGACCAGGTGGCAGGCTTCATTCCCAGAAAGTACTCACCGAACCCAGAAGCCGTAGGAAATGAGGAAAGTTGACAAGAACATACACAGGCTTTCCTAAAACTCACCCTGGGGTTCCCCGGGCCTTAGAGTGGGTCCACATGAACCACTGGGGAGGCCTTAGCGTCTTAGGCCAGTGGACAGAGGACCTAAAGGTCTGAATGTCACACTGTGGGAGTGTATTTGGCCAACACATTGGAAAGTTGAGGCCAGAGGCCCAGTTTCCTGAGACTCTGCCTCCCCTGTTCACTGTGGAGGGGGGGACTCCAGCTTGTCCCCTCCAAGCAGGACTTAAAGCTAGGCTCTCACAATCTGAGCACTGCTGCCCTACACATTTCCTCTTTCCTTGATCTCCGACCTTGAGTCTGCCTAGGAGAAGACAAACGGTTCCCTTTGCACATGTCTGAGCAAACAGAGAGGGGAATCCCTGACTGTTCTTGGCCAGGTGAATGAACACAGGGTGTGTGCAGACATCTGTGACGAATCCTGTCCACACTTCCCACCTCTCAGGCCGCTCAGATGGATTTACCTTTCTGTGCTCAGCAGAACAGACCAGAAACCCTGGTGTCCCTCCCTCCTTTCTTTGGGAATGAGGTGGTTCCCTAGGCCTGGAGGGTTGGGTGGGCAATACAGAGTAAGAGATAGACCAGAAAGTTGCTTATACTCCTGCTGGTTCCCCATGTCCCCAGGACACCCCCTCCATGGCTCTGCACTGGTCGCAGGAGGTGGGCAGAACTGACCTTGTGTTTGGTTATGTCTGGCTTATGGCTGACACTGTATCCAGAGCTTCAGGGAGGGAGCAGCTGGTTACGTGGCCATTCTAACTGGGAGGATCTTGTGCTTTTCACTTCCCAGGGGCTCTTGGGAACTTTCTGGAAATCCTGGGGTGTCAGCCAGATTCTGAGGGGGTGGGGAGGCCTTGAATGACTTAGCAGGACATTAAGTGTTAGTTCATTGACTCAGGACCTCCTCTAGTAGGACAGGTTTGACCTCTGATGTACCTTGGTATGTCTTCAGGAACTTCCTCTCTGATCTCACCAAACTTCCAGAAAGTCATTCAGCTAGCCCCCAGAACACACCACAAAGTGGTCTTCCTCTGTAATGTAGGCCCCCAGTGCTGAAGGCATCACAGGAAAAGAATGACAGCAGAATAGTTTTCACCCGTTCCCCTACCAAGACAGAGCCTGTCTGGTATTGGCTGTGTTATTCTCATAGAGTCAGAGGCTGGAGTTAGCTACTTAGGGCACAAGAGTTGCTGAAGTCGTGAGAGTCCCAGGGAAAAGTGGGGGTCCCCCAGTGTGTCTCAGGGACTACTTTTGGGGTAGCTGACCCCTTGTACCCCAAGCCACCAACCCTCTGGCTTCTTCAGCTGTGCCACCTTTGCAGCCAGGGAAGCCTACAGTGGGGGTTTCCTTCTTCCAGACACTTCAGTGAGGGTGTGGCTGGAATTAGAAATTGTGTTGTTTTAATATCTTAATCATTTACAATTTCAAAACCATTGATTGATTGCTGAACTGTGGAGGAGTGAGACAACATTCCTAGAGTTCCTGGTCCCCCAGGCCACAAGGCTCCTTCCCCTACTCTGGGCAGCCCAGAGCTAAATCTGTGGGCTTTAACTGCAAATACCAGGATGGCATGGCCTACTGGGCACTGCTCAGCATGCGCTGTGGTCACAAGGGACTGCCTGGTGAGATCTTTCTGTCTTATGTGACCCTCCCAGTCTCACCTCAGCCAGTCCTGTGCATAGGGAAACGCACACGGGCACTCCCTCAAGTGATAGATGCCTCTATAGCCCGGGGTCAGAGGGCACAAGGATATCCCCCCCCTCCCCAGCCTGGTCATCCTGGGAGCTTCAGGCCTCAGATGAGTCTCAGGCCTGCTTAGGCCCAGATTCTGATCATGCTAGAGTATATTTCTTCTCCCAGACAAACAAAAGATGTGACTGAAATGCTCAGCTCAGGCTTCCTGGGGGGGGGGGGTGTCTTTTTATTTTTCCTGAGAGGTGTTGATTAATACCTCGTTAACAGCACATTTAACGACCTCCGGGTGTTTAATAACCTTCAGAAGTTTCCCACAAAGGCTCAGACTCTGGGCAAGAAAATGAGAACCAGGCTCCAGGCTGCTCCCCTTACCTTCCCCCCACCCCACCCAGGTCTGGGGCCTCCTTGGGCTGATGGGGGTGGAGAGTCGAGAAAGAGAAAAAAAGAGGGTGTCTAGAACTGTCCCCTGACCCCCCAACTCACAGTTTAAGTGATCCGATGATCAATACCGAGTTGTGCCTTTCCTCGAGTGGCAGGGCAGGAGCAGCTGGCTTCAGGAAAAGGCTCACCTGAGGCTGAGAGCAGGCTCTGAGGGCTTGCAGTGGGGCTGGGAACACATGACTGATTGCAGGAGGGGTGACTATGAGCAGGGACATCTCGCTCGCAGGCACAGCGTCCCCCACTGCCACCCCTCCACTGCATAGCTCTCCCCTCTCCCAAGTCAGGACTGGACAGCTCGGCCTTTGTGTTCCTGCCCCACAGGGTGCTGATTGCTTGGAGCCCATTCGGAGGCTTGAGCTGCCGTGGAGTGTGTTGGGAGAGGCAAGGCTCCCCGGGGACACCGGTGTAGGTATTAGTGACAATGTCAGGCTGTTCTTCCTGAACAAGGCCCTCCCCTGGATGAAACTGGGTAGGCAGCTCCTTGTGACTATAACCCCAACAAACAAATCCCTCACTACACCCCCACTGCCATATGACAGGGTTGTGCCTCTTTGCTTTTCCTCCTACAAGACCCAAACAGAACAGAAATAAAGCTACGAGAAAGTGGGAATGATGGGGGATAGACTGGGATTGAAACCAGGAGGAAGTGTGATAACTGCTGGCTTTGCATTAGCAAACAGTATTCTTGGAAGGAGCTGGGTTGTAGAACAGGAGTGGCATGCATTTGAATCCTAGCTCCTGTATGTTTTCGTGGTGTGAGCTTGTACACTGGATCACTTTCCCCACCTGAAATTAGAGATAATAGTAGTGCCCACTGTGCCCATTAGGGCTATGGTAAGAAGTGAATTTTGCTTCCGCCGCCTGCCTCGCAAGCAGAAGGTCCCGAGTTGGATCCCCGGTACCAAAAAAAAAAAAAGTGAATTTTGCATGTAGTATGTTCAGCACAGTGCCTGGCACCTGCTTAACACATGGTGACCACACTTGCCCATGTCCCTGAGTGGCAAGAGGTAAGGGGCTGATGCACTCAATGGGAACTCTGGCTTTGGGAAGAGAGGGCAGACTTCCCAAGCAATGCTGCCATTTTCCTATTTTCTGCTGGCCTCAGCTGAAGCAAAGGCCTGGGGGATGGCCTCGGGCAGAGCCCTTCTCTGTCCCTGCCCCCACCCTGTGACCTAATGACCTGCCCTGGGTTTCCCCCAGCTGTATGGCTACTGCTACCAGGACAGCGAGGACATCCCAGACACGCTGACCACCATCACGGAGCTGGGAGCCCCTGTGGAAATGATCCAGCTACTGCAGACTTCCTGGGAGGATCGATTCCGAGTGAGCAGGGAGCAGGGCTCCTGAATGGGATGTTTCTCCTTAGAAGGCCGGCCTTCCAGAGCAGCTTGGACTCCTCAGCCAAGGGAGCGGGAGGGAGGCAGGGCACAGGCTGCCTCGGCCCTTGGCCAAAGGGTTAAAAAAAGAAGCAAGACCTAGAGGAATTTGACATTCTGTGCCCTGCTGTCCTCACCACTCCCTACATGCACACAGCCACTGCAGGAGGGCCCATCTCCTGGGACCACAAGTCACCTTAAGGTCAGCTCGACCCTTCCTCTGTCCCCAGCCACTGAACTGAAACCACACACCACACACAAGATGCAACTTTGGGAAAGAGATTCATTATCTCCAGACCCCCTGCCACTGTTTCTCACCTACTCCATATTATTTGCAGGGTCAGGCCAGCCTATGGGTTAATCGATTAGAATCATTGGCATCCTCGTTAAGGCCGCTGGGGTCACCTTCACTGAGCACTGAGGCTTAGAGAACAGAAAGGCCAGTCTTTGAGCTAGATCCACAGCCCCAAAAGGGAGCCCCTAGAGAGTCCATGGGCCCCTACTGAGTCCCGTGTCTGTCTTCAGATCTGCCTCAGCCTGGGCCGCCTCCTCCACCACCTGGCCCACTCCCCGCTGGGCTCGGTCACTCTGCTGGACTTTCGCCCTCGGCAGTTCGTGCTTGTGGATGGGGAGCTGAAGGTGACAGACCTGGATGATGCACGTGTGGAGGAGATGCCATGTACAAGCAACGCCGACTGTGTGCTTGAATTTCCAGCAAGGAACTTCACCCTGCCTTGTTCTGCCCAGGGCTGGTGTGAGGGCATGAACGAGAAGCGGAACCTCTACAATGCCTACAGGTGACCTCCACTACCCACTCAGGAGCTCTAGCGAGGGAGGCGGGCACAGCTCAGGGAGAGCCAGTATGGGGTTCAGTGAAGGAAAAGGCTCAACCTTGGCCATGGGAGCCCCAGAGGCAGGGAAAGCCTCCTGCCCACCCAGTTAAGAGGGAATGTTCAGGCTTCTGAGGGTGGTGCTAAAAATAGATGGCTCCCAGGAGAATCTGGGTTGGAGAGTGGCAGATGGAGGCCTCTTAAAATAGTGCTGGACTCAGGGCCTCAGGCTGGAGGGACCAGCTCTTCCTCTTCCCACCTGGCCCTTGACCTCTCTGAAGCTCCTCATGGCGAGAAGCCCCACCTCTGGGACTGCGCTGATGTTGGGGGTCAGCCTGTGATGGTATGGGCTGGATGTCAAGGAAGCAGGGAGAAGCAGGCCTCAGGTCTCAGTTTGGTCTGAAGTTAACTGTAATCATAGCTGGGCCCAGACTCATTCCCCAAGTCTGCTACACCCCGGGGTATACCTGGTCGCTGGGCTGAAGGATCAGGCTCCCTAGCCAGGTTGGGGTCAGAGAAGGATGTATACCCAGAGGCTATGTCCCCAAGCCCCTGGTTTCTCTCTGCCACAGGTTTTTCTTCACATACCTCCTGCCCCACAGCGCTCCGCCCTCACTCCGGCCTCTGCTGGACAGTATCGTCAATGCTTCAGGTGAGCCTCCGGTTCTCTGCTTTCCCCTGCCTGGTCATCCCCCAGCAGGAGTGGGGTCAGGAATGAGCCAGGGCAGCATGGGACCCAGAAATCATCATTTCCCAGGCTAGCAAAGCAGCAAAGCCCCTCCCCTGGCCACCGGGCATCTGGGCACAGGCCCTGGAGGGAGAAAGGGAGGGGAGGCAGCTGGTACCTACTTCAGGCAGGAGCAGGAGCCCAGGACCCTGTCATAGCCACACCACACTCTGCAGGAGAGCTCACCTGGGGGGTGGACGAGACCCTGGCCCATCTGGAGACGGTGCTGCACCTGTACCGGAGCGGGCAGTATCTGCAGAACTCCACGGCAAGCAACAGTGCTGGTGAGTGGTCCCAGCAGGGAGCCAGGAGGTGGGGAGCAGGGGGAGACAGCTCTCTAATTGGGCTGGATGTCTCCACTACCCTCTGGGATCCTTCTGTCCAGAGGCTACCCTGAGGGCTCACTTGGAGTGATGCAGAGACTGTTGAGCCTTCACTTTGAGGTCCCATCTCTGGCCCAGCTAGAGCAACTGTCATTCCACTGACCCCCATCCTCTGGATGGCTTCAAACCCCTCTGTGTCTGTGTGGCTTACCTCTAGAGCCTCACTTTTCTCACCTGTGGATTGGGTTCAATATTACATGCCTCACAAAGTTCTAATGGGGATTAAGTGGCAGGTGATGTGTGTAAAAGCAATTAGCACACTTCCTATTACATAGCTGGAACACAATATATTTGCTTCTCTTTCCTTCCTCTGCACTCCTGTGGCTGGGAGGCCAGCTGGAGGTAGAAGGAGCCCCACACTGAAGCCAGCCCCAAAGTGGGCTCTTCCAAAGCAGAGGAGAGTTTTACCCACTGGCTACAGCCTGTGGTCCCTGTACAGAAGCCCTTGGGTTTAGCCATGGTTGGCAGAGGAGAAGGGGTGGGCAGCCTCTGTATTCAGGGAGCCCTGGCCACTCTTAGGGGTGGGGGAGCCCTCGTTAGCCCTGTAAATAAAGTTTAACGAGGTGAACAATGGCTGGCTCTGTCCCCGAGGACGCCGTTTATGGGGCCATAAATCACAGCCAGCCCTGGACTTTGGTCTAGTCCCTGGCAGGAGAAGGAGGCTGGAGGGCGGGGTGGCCGTAGGCCCAAGGTTTCTGCATTATCAGTCCAAAACTGGGGCTCCCTGGGCAGTGGAAAAGATGGGGTGAAGAGGCCTTCCACTGAGCTGCGTCCTAATTGGGAGGCATGCTCTGAGCCTCTGGTCTGAATCACGGGGCAAATTCAGCCCCCTCCCGAAACACTCCAGCCACGGATGCTTTGCATTTCTCCGTTTGCGTGCCTCTTAACCCCAGAACTCCCTGACTGCCCCTATCTGAGGAGCTTGCCTAAACCCTCTCCCCAAGGCCAGGGGAATGTCTGGCTGAGGGGTGCTCTGAACCTCCAAGACTCCATGTGTGACCTGCACACTCACAGGATCAGAAGCCGGTTAGGAATGCAGATTCTCAGGGCCCACCCAGACTTCTGAATCAGAATCTACCTTTTAGCACGATTACCTAGGGATTCACACGAATATGTTTGAGAAGCCCAGTTCTACATGTCTACAACGCCCTGACCTGAGCAGCCACCCTGGACAGCCAGTGGCTCTGTATATGTATGTGTGTGTCCCACGCCTGTGCCAGCTTCTCCCAAAAACTAAATCTGCTTGGATTTCAGTGAGTTACCGACCCAGTTTGAACAGCAGTGGCTGCCTGCATCTCCATGCTAGGAGCACTGGACATCAATCTTCACCTAGAAAAGGAGTCTTTTTTTTTTTTGAAGAGTAGGATGAATTTATTGAGAGAAAGATAGCTTCTGTCTAAGAGAGACAGAAAGGGGACCGGAAAGTGGGTTGTCCCTAGGAAAGGAGTCTTGCAGCCCCACTCAGCAAGTGGCCCCTGTGCTCACCCTGGGCACATAGTTCTCACGTTTGCTTCACTCCTACTCCTACTCCTAGAATATCAGCGCATCCCAGACAGCACCATCCCACAGGAAGACTACCGATGCTGGCCCTCCTACCACCATGGCAGCTGCCTCCTGTCCGTGTTTAACCTGGCTGAGGCCATGGATGTCTGTGAGAGCCATGCCCAGTGCAGTGCCTTTGTGGTCACCAACCAGACCACCTGGACAGGTGAGCTCGAGGAGAGAGCATCCTGAGGGAGGCGGCTGGACTTCCCTAGAGGTTGGCAGGTAGTGGGTGGCTTTAGGAGAGTGGCCAACCTCCAGGGACAGAAGCACCCAGGCCTGTTCTGTCTCACCTCCACCCCAGGTCGGAAGCTGGTCTTTTTCAAGACTGGATGGAGCCATGTGGTCCCTGATCCCAACAAGACCACCTATGTGAGGGCCCCTGGCTGACCTGCCTGAGGGCTCAGCCGAGCAGCTGACCGTCCTCACCAGCTGGGCTTGCTTGCAGCAGGAGTGATTTACACCAGCAACACTGCATGTCACCTGGAAACCCCTGCAAACAGTGCTGACTTCCCAGACGGACTGACGTGACCAGTTCAAACGTGCAATATTGCAAAATGTTAAACTGTGAGTTTACCAGCCTGGGTCTGAGACTGCTGGCTGTCAGGCCAGGAATCAGTGGTCATGGGGCTGCAAGCCAGGCCCAGGCTGGTCCAAACCAGGAGTGTTCCATGGGCAGCCCCATCACTGTGTTCATAGCATGAGAATGTAACCAAAGCCCTGCCACTGCTGCTGCACACGATGCAGCGGGCAGGGGCCTTGTGGGGACAATCGGTCACACACGGTCCTCTCAGCTTAGCTCCACTCGGGAGACTTGGTGGGGGGGTGCTCCAGGAGAGGCTCTGGCCCCCCCGACAGAGGATGCTCCCAGACCATCCTGGGGATCAGGAGCCAGGGCACACATGTCCAAATGAGCCAAGACTGGGAGGAGGAGGAGGAGAAGGAGGAGGAGGAGCAGGTTGCAGTTTGAGCCAGGACCTGGGGTGGGGGTGGAGCCTGGGCCTTTCTGCCTCATTTGCTTTCAGTGAAAGCTGCAGAGCAGCCAAAACCAGGCTTTCCCCCCTCTAGGAGTTTGCATATCCAGAAGTTTTTATACTTCTTGTTCATTAAATTGTTTATTTTTGTAAAAAAAAAAATATCAATCAGCTAATAAAGTGATTTTTCAAGGCAAAAACTCTTCTCAAGCCAAAGTTTCTTGGGCCGTGACACACTGACCCTAAGTTGTATGTTTGTGTGTGTATGTGCAAGCATACATGCACATGCATCAGGGGAGATGATAACCGTTGGGAGTGAAATTCCAGTGACAAACACTAAAGATACCAAAATGTGTCTTCCGGTCCTACTTCCATGGTGCCTACTTCCCATCTTCGCCCTCCACATCAAGACCCAAACAAAAGACATTCAGACTCCCTTTTACCCTTGGAGGTTCGCATTTTAACACATCCCAGCTCCTCTTATGCAAAGCCCTAACCCAAAGGAATGATGTCCTCATGGTGGGATATTAGCCACCTCCATTAATGGTGGAGAAATAGTTCAGGACAGGGACACCAGGAGACCCCAGGCAACCTCCAGCAGGTCACCTTTGCCTCTGCACAGGATTGCCCATCATCACTGCCCTCCACAAGTTCCTGAGCCTTTCTGTAAGTAAGAAATATGTGGAGAGTGGGGAGAAAGAAGCAACTGTGGAAGGACCAGCCCAGCTTTATGGATTTCAGTAAGGAAGTTCTACACTAACCAAGTTGAGTGTATGGCCACCCAAAGCAAAAAAAAAGAAAGAAAAAAATGAGAGGTCAAGAGGACACTGAGGCTGGAGAAAGCCCCACCAATGAATGCAGATTTTCTTACTTAAAATCCCTCCTGCTCTCTCCTATTCAACATTCAACTTTGAGTGTTCTCAAAGGGCACAAACCTTTGAGGGCTTAAAAGAAATAACCAAACTTTACCTCAGAACTCATTTCCTCCTGAGCAGATCCGGTCGCTGCTTCTCAGATGCAGGATGTCCCTGTGGCTCTGAGTGAGGAGCTGGTATTGGCTCTGGAGTCCTCACCACACACACCACTGTGACCCGAAAGGTTACAGCTTGCCACTGCCATCCCAGGTCACACCTTGCATCTTGTTTCTGGTAACTGGACAGAGGACAGAGTTGGAACCTCACACTATGACTCAACCACCCTCCATCTGCATCTCACAGGGACCTGCAAGCCTTTGTCCCCAGTTGAACTCACCGCTGCAACACACAGTCCACTCCATGGCACTGGGAATTAGATTTTACTCCTCCCTTGTCACTGTCCAGCTGTCATCTAGCCTGAGGGGCTCTGAGCACAGGAGGAAGCCTGTCATAAGCTGACCTTATGGAGGAGACAGAATAGGTGAGAACCTGACGAGACAGAAGTTGAAAATCAGTCAAGTCTCACAGTCCATAGAAAGACAAAGACCCAGTTACAATCAACAGCGAGGCCCAGGATTCTCTCAGCAGGCAGGGAAAGGGAAGGCTAAAGATGAGTCCAGACTGAGTGCCCAGAGGACAGGCTCATGGGCAAAATGGAGAGGGGCAGAGGGAAATGATGCCTGCAGAGGACCCAGCTCTGGCCTTGGTGAGGTACAATTATTCCAGTCTTATCTACCTGGAAACAGCCCAAGGGGCATTCTCAGCCAGCCCTAAGTCACAGCCTGTTATGTTCAGTGCTGCCTCCTAGGGGGCAGAATCACAGCCAGAGGAATCTAAGAGAGGGCCACCTAACTCTTAAGTGACAAAGTAAAATGGAGATCCATACAGCATAGTCATTTTAGAAAGATTTGCCCACAGGCAGCCGAAGGGATGGTAGAAAGCTTCTCCCTCTGAGCCTGTACCTTGCCTCAAGACCTCTTCCTGGCAGCAGAAATGACCTGCTCAGTTCTGCAGAGTTGAGAGAAGGGCATTTCCAGCTGGGAGTGGAGAGGCAATGGAGTGCCCAGGAAGAAAGGGAACAGTGAGCGGGGAGGCCTGAAACAAAATCATGCCTCCCCTGGGAAGGCCAGGGAGCTACCTGTCTCCTGAGAGAACTTTGCATTTCTGGATGCCACAAGGAGGGGCAGTGTTGCCTAGTGCTTCTGCATGAGGCTGTGGAGCCAGGTGGAGCTGGGCAAGCATACTGGACACTTCCACTTTTTGCTCACTGTGTTGTCTGGCTGTGAGACCCTCCCTGAGCCTCTACTTCCTCATCTGCAAATTTCAGATTGATAATATCTGCTTCACAGGAGGATCATGGGAACTGAGTGAGGTTATGCACATAAGGGTCTTCTCGGTATCAGCAAGCAGTGAGTGCTTGGAAAATACTGGCTGACACTGTCACTGTTTTGTTACTGGTGAGCTGAGCACTGAAATAATGCTCATCCAGGACCTGGCTGGAAGAACAACTAAGTCTGCTAAGGAGGACCAGGGTACAGTCACACTGCCCCCGCCTCTTCCAAATCCCCTAACGGGAAGCACTGCCCTTGACCAGGGGAGGTGGACCTGGCTCTCCGGGTCAGTGCCCTGGGAGTTGAGTGTATGGCAGACAGAGGAGGAAGAGGATTAACATGAAAGCAGAAAATGGGATTAGGAGGCCTCAGGATAATGTGCCCATCCATCCTTCATCCATGACAACTGCTTTTGGAGCCCAAAGTCCACAAGATTTGGTTGCCCCTGGCTTCCAAGGCAGAGCCAGGAAAAGAGATGTGGTGGACTCCAAATGTAAGAGTACTCGGTTTGGTAGGATGAGGGGCTGGGCTGTGAGTGGCTGCTGGCCAGGCCTGGCTACCTTTATGTGACTTTCTCACTTAATCCTGAAGGTGACTGGGAGATAGGTGGTGGCCCAGAGAGGTGAAGAGCCAGGCTCCAACCCTCTCCCCTCTCCTACAGCCAGTACAGCATCCCCTTGAAGATCAGCATCACCTGCAAGACCAATTATCCACTCATTTCTGCTGCTGCTTCTGGGAAGGACTGCCTTTGACCGGAAGCCCCCTAGGCAGTTGAAGGACACCAAGTCCGCCTCACTAGCATCATCCCCTAAGAGTGAGCATGTCCCTAAAAACCTGGATCTAGGCACAGTGGCACATGACTGTAAACTCAACAGAAGGATCACAAGTTCAAGGCCAGCTATTGCTATTCCAAGGGGAGACCATGCTACATCAGTCCAACTATGTAAAGAGGTAGACCAAGATCCATCCTAAAATTACCTCTGAAGCACTAGAGGCTCCCTAGCCATTGTTTGGGGAAGTTCATTCTCTTACCCTATTCCAAGCAAGGCCGTTCTAGCTTCCTGTTTTCCAGACTATGGTCTCTTGCCTCTTGCCTGACCCAACCGAGCATCTGACATCTACTCACCTACCCTCCTCTGGTTGCATTTCAGCCCCAGAATTGAGGCGCAGTGACAAGATCTCCCTCACCCAAGTCCAATAGGAAACAGCATAATGAACATAAGATACACTGGCAAGTTTTCAGGCACTGGGAATGACAACGAATAGTGCTGCAAGCTGGAGACCATAGAGGCTGAGTCACTGCCATCTCCACCCAAGGCAAGGGAGTGGAAGCTGTTGCCAGAACCTGGAAAGAGAGCCCTGAATGAGTCATACAGAGGGGCATCTAGAGAAGAGAAATGACCAAGGCACACAGACAGGGTGGCTTCACAAAGAGACACATATACTCTGTATTCTCCTTCCTCTCTCCTACCAACCTCTTGTCCAGCTCAAACCCAACTTGAAGGCAGAGAGCCAAGGAACTTGATGCGAGTTCCACAACCATCAGCCCTGAAGGCAGAGAGCAGGGTGGAAGAGAGGACAGGAGCACACCTCCCCACTCTATGCCTGGGCCTTGGTTTGTCTTCAGAGGGCAAGCAGAAACTTCTTTTTTGTCCCCAATTCCATTCTTAGATGTTCGACTATTTGTTGTTCTGTTTGAAGTAACACCTTGGGCCCAAACCTTCAGGGGAGTCCCCTGCAGCATGAACTCTCAACAGCCACTATTAATTCCAAGGAGGAAAAAACTTGGTCCTTGCAAGATGAAAAATATTAGATATTACAATAGTCTTTGGTCCTCCAAAGAACCACAGGTCATAAATATATATACCGTGTTACTCAAAGTCCACAGGAGCTGGTAACCATTAGGGGGAAAGTATCTTTAAATGTTCTTGGGGAAGGGTAATAATGAGAGTAGCTTGTAAAACATCATGTTAGGGCAACCCATAACCCTTTCTTGGATTGTCACTGAGAGCTTTCAATCTGTCACCCTCAAGAATGAAATTTTACCATTATTTTCTAAACTGATTTATTCACTCTTTACATAGTTCATGATAAAAACAAGGTACCACTGAAATCCTTTTTCACTTAATGCTTTACTTGACCTGCCTTTGACCCTGTTGAACATCTTTGGCCACCCAGGAGCCTCCTGCATCTTCTGCAGACTATGGTCCTTTGTAGGTATTTCCCTAGGTGGAAAAGCTCAGGATCATTAGCAAAACAAAAGATTTCAGCACACTTCCTCTTCTCCTAACTGGTCCAGCCACAAAATGTTTTTTGATGCTAGCCACGGTGATGAATACTGAAATACCGGACATGCCCCCTCCCTTTCAGGAGCTCACAATGTCACTGGGGATGTCACAAAGATAGACTAATTCAGGGCTGGGGATTTAGCTCAGTGGTTTCACTGTCTGCTGTGCAAGTGCAACGACCGAGTTCAAGGTCCAAGTTCGAGCCCCGAGTTTGAGCGCCAGTACCAAAACAAACAAACAAAAAGATCGACTAATTCAGCAAGACAATCTGTGAGAGTGGTTATACAGCTATGAGGCCGATTTCCGCCCGTGATTGTGAGAGCAAAGGGGCTTGATTGCTGGCCAGGCACATCAGTTCCCCAGCAGAAGCCTGCTGCCAACATGTTGCCATGCAGAGAAAGACTTATTTATCCTCGCTTTATGTTTCTTATCTGAGCCAGTTCCCTATTTGTCACCATTCTCCCCATTCCCATGGTGACTCAACTTCTTCAACAGGCTTTGGTGTGGAGCTTTCCAAGGATTCTTAAAAGTGTAAATGGATTGTGTCTACTGTTTGCCCTCCTTATCCATACACTTATTTGACCCTTCAAAGAGCTCTAGTAGATTAGGGAGGCATGGTTTCTCGTTAGCAAAGGCAGGCTGCCTTTCCACAGGAGGTGGAGTTTGC